GTTCGGCCTGGCAACCCTATATATATATATATATATATATATTTTAATTTAAAACTTTAAATATATTTTTGATTTTTTTTTTTGGCCCGACCGGGCAAGTGGTCCTGGGACACTCCAGTGGCCTAAGGTAAATAGTTCATTTGTATTGAAAAGGCAAGGAGTTAGGAGGATAAGGTGAGATCAGTTCGTTAAACTACGGTCTTCACCCAAATAGAACGCCTCGGGGTCATTATAGCTGTATTTGGGGTCACTTTGAGTCCAGGTACATCGATAATGACTGAGCGTTCATTCAGGTGAAGAAAGTAATAAAGTTTTAATGAGCTGATAAATAATTTGATTCAAATAATAAAGACTTGTAATAAAGGGGTTCCCACGGTTGGAAATTGGGTCAGGTTCGGAATCTGGTTCCGGTTAGGAAACTGGTGTAGGTTAGGAATCTGGTTCGGGTCAGGAAACTAGCTCGGGTTAGGAAACGGGTTCACGCTAGGAAACTAGTTCTGGTTAGGTCACTGGTTAGGGAAGGGGTCCCATGGTTGGAAACTCGTTCCGGTTCAGAATCTGGTTTGGGTCAGGAAACAGGTTTGGGTTAAGAAACTGGTTCAGGTTAGGAACCTAGTTCAGGTTAGGAAACTCGTTAGGGAAGGGGTCCCATGGTTGGAAAGTGGTTCGGGTTAGGAAACAGATTTGAGTTAAGAAACAAGTTAGGGAAGAGGTCCCATGCTTGGAAACTGGTTCAGTTTAGGAATCTGGTTCAGGTCAGGAAACGGGTTTGGGTTAGGAAACTGGTTTGGGAAGGGGTACCATGGTTGGAAAATGGTTTAGGGTTGGAATCTGGTTCTTGTTAGGAAAATTATTTATAGGTTAGGAATCTGGTTCAGGTTAGGAAACTAGTTCGAGTTAAATCTGATCAAGGTTGGGGAACTGGTTCAAGCTAGGAAACTAGTTCCAGTTAGGAAACTGGTTCAGGTTAGGAATCTGGTTCGGGTTAGGAATCTGGTTCTGGTCAGGAAACTGGTTTGGGTTAGGCCAGGGGAGACTGCAAATGTGCAGAAGTCTGTCATGCGACTATCCGAAATCATGATTGGCTGCAAGAACAAGGGAAACCGGTCTTCAAATCACTAGAGGATTTAGGATCCTACCTGGTTCGGGAAGGGGTACCGTGGTTGGAAACTTGTTTAGGTTTGGAATCTAGTTCGGGTTAGGAAAAGTTTTTAGGTTGGGAATCTGGTTCAGGTTAGGAAACTAGTTCGGGTTAAATCCGGTTCGTCACGGTGTTAGCCTGTTAGGGCACTGGTTCAAGCTAGGAAACTGGTTCAGGTTAGGAATCTGGTTTGGGTTAGGAATCTGGTTCGGTTTAGGAATCTGGTTCAGGTCAGGAATCTGGTTCGAGTTACGAATCTGGTTCGGGTTAGGAATCTGGTTTGGGTTAGGAAACTGGTTCGGAAAGAGGTACCATGGTTGGAAACTGGTTCATGTTTGGAATCTGGTTCGGGTTAGGAATCTGGTCCGGAAACTGGTTCAGGTTAGGAATCTGGTTCGAGTTAGGAATCTGGTTCAGATTATGGTTGGAAACTGTTTCAGGTTTGGAATCTGGTTCGGGTTACAAATTTGGTTCTGATTAGGAATTTGGTTCCTTCCATGGTTGGAAACTAGTTCAGGTTAGGAATCTGGTTCGGATTAGGAATCTGGTTCAGATCAGGAACTGGTTTGGGTTAGGACACAGGTTCAAGAAAAGGTACAATGGTTGAAAACTGGTTCAGGTTTGGAATCTGGTTCGGGTTAAAAAGTTGGTTTAGGTTAGGAATCTGGTTTCGGGTTAGGGAACGAGTTCGGGATAGGAAACTGGTTTGGGAAGGGGGTTACCATTGTGGTAATCAGGCATCGGGGGGGAATTGCAAATCGTCAATTCTGCAAAGGAGTGAACCCCCTGCTGGTAGGCCTGCTTGGAATCAGCATGAACATTCCAGTCTTCCTGGACAAGTTCGACAATTTTTTTTTTTTTTTTTCGTTTCTGGTTTTGGCGCACACTGTCGCACAATCCTCGGAAAAGGTCGTGTATCTATGCCTCCTACGGTCTTCGCCTGAATAGACCGCCTGGTCATTACAGCTGTATTTGGTGCAAGTTTCAGTTCAGATGCGGCAAAAATGACCGGGTGTTCTATTAGGGTGAAGACGGTAGGGCTCGTTTGTCTAAGGGTCCGGATGCTCTGTCATTGGCTAAATGCAAAAACTGGCGAAGGTATCTGGCTACCTTTCACCCCATGATACACTCACTATTTTGCACATTTGGTAAGTGGTGACTCAACAAGGTCCTCAGTAAGGAGTTTTGGTGGGTACGTGCATGTACTTACAAAAATCAGTGACATTGTTTTTCAGTGGGCGATTGGGCTGTTGCGATTTAACTCTCGCGGGGGTTGTCACATTGTGTGGTTGATATGACCCCTGCAAGATCGGGTTAGGAATCTGGTTCGGGTTAGGAATCTGGTTCAGGTCAGGAAACTGGTTTGGGCCTAACAGGTTCGGGAAGGGGTACCATGGTTGGAAACTGGTTTAGGTTTGGAATTTGGTTCTTGTTAGGAAAAATTTTTAGGTTGGGAATCTGGTTCAGGTTAGGAAACTAGTTCGGGTTAAATCTGGTTCGTGTTAGGGAACTGGTTCAAGCTAGGAAACTGGTTCAGGTTAGGAATCTGGTTCGAGTTAGGAATCTGGTTCGGGTTAGGAATTTGGTTTGGGTTAGGAAACTGGTTCGGGAAGGGGTACCATGGTTGAAAACTGGTTCAGGTTTGGAATCTGGTTTGGGTTAGGAATCTGGTTCGGAAACTGGTTCATGTTAGGAATCTGGTTCAGGTTAGGAATCTGGTTCAGATTAGGAATCTGGTTCAGATTATGGTTGGAAACTGGTTCATGTTTGGAATCTGGTTCGGGTTAGGAATCTGGTTCGGATTAGGAATCTGGTTTCTTCCATGGTTGGAAACTGGTTCAGGTTAGAAATCTGGTTCGGATTAGGAATCTGGTTCGGATTAGGAATCTGGTTCGGATTAGGAATCTGGTTCAGGTCAGGAACTGATTTGGGTTAGGACACTGGTTCGGGAAAGGGTACAATGGTTGGAAACTGGTTCAGGTTTGGAATCCGGTTCGGGTTAAGAAGCTGGTTTAGGTTAGGAATCTGGTTTCGGGTTAGGGAACAAGTTCCAGATAGGAAACTGGTTAGGGAAGGGGGGTACCATTGTGGTAATCAGGCATGGCGGGGAATTGCAAATCGCCGATTCTGCAAAGGAGTGAACCCCCTGCTGGTAAGCCTATTTGAAATCAACATCAACATTCAAGTCTTCCTGGACAAGTTCAACATTCTTTTTTTCTTTTTTGGTTTCTGGTTTTGGCGCACACTGTTGCACAATCCTCAGAAACGGTCGTGTGTCTATGCCTCCTACGATCTTCGCCTGAATAGACCGCCTGGTCATTACAACTGTATTTTGTGCAAGTTTCAGTCCAGATGCGACAAAAATGACCGGGTGTTCTATTAGGGTGAAGACGGTCGAGCTCATTTGTCTAAGGGTCTGGATGCTCTGTTATTGGCTAAATGCAAAAACTGGCGAAGGTATCTGGCTACCTTTTACCCCATGATACACTCACTATTTTGCACCTCTGGCAAGTGGTGACTCAGCAAGGTTCTCAGTAAGGAGTTTTGGTGGGTAGGTGCATGCACTTACAGGAATCAGTGACATTGTTTTTCAGTGGGTGATTGGGCTGTTGCGATTTAACCCTCGTGGGGGTTGTGACGTTGTGTGGTTGATATGACCCCTGCAAGGGAGGAAAGTAGACCCCTTACGTGTGCGCCTGCTCCCCCCCCCCCCCATCCACTCCCCTTTCTTTCCCTCTCCTGCATGCACTTGCAGGAATCAGTGATATTGTTTTTCAGTGGGTGATTGGTCGATTGTGATTTAATCCTCGTGGGGGTTATGGCATTACGTGGTTGATTTGACTGTCGGAAGGGAGGAAAGTAGACCGCTCCCCCACCCCTCCCTCCCCCGACTCCCCCTTCTCTCCACCTCTCCATCTCCTGGTCCCGCTTCCTATTTTTCAGACTTTTCTCATTGTGGATTGGTTGATTTTCTGCTGCATTGTCAACGGGTGTTTTTTTTTTTTTTTTTTTTTTTTTTTTTTTTTTTTTGAACACTGCACTGACAGATAACTTGAACCTGACCACAACGTGTTTTGGTTGCGTTGTGGACTCTCTTGTACTTCTGGCAGTTGGTCGTTGCGGCTGGGGCAAATGACACATACACCTTTGAGGGCCTGACCGTTGGGGAGCTAGGTCCCACTTGCACGAATTAAGAGATATTGACCGTAGATAGCAAAGATCAACGACCCAAATCTCCTAATTTGTGCAAGTGGGACCTTGCCCCGGGTGCATAGCCCAACGTTGCATTCTGGTCCGACGGGGGCGTGCTGCGAGGATCGCACACAGGGATGGGCAAAAATTTTGCATCTTTGAGGGGCAAATCACGACACATCTAAATTTAAACTTGCACTTTTGAGTGGCATTCAAGCTGGAAAAAATCTGGAATTGTCACATCTTTGAGGGGCTAAATACAAAGTTTCGAAAATAGAAATTACAGGTCTTTATGTTTGCGGGAAGAGTGCAGTGTGAAAATATTGCCATTTTCAGGCCCACTGGATGAAAGAGACAGTGGGGGGAGGACCGAAACGCTTCTGCCGGCGCTAATTTGCGCTCGGACCAAGTGTTGTTCGGCCGGCAACGGCGATCCTGGGGTGACAGCTCCCGCGGTCAGCAAGACAGCGGTCTGGTAGTGATGTCATCTGGCTCGCTCCTTGAAGCGACAACAGGGATGTTGACGAAAGTTGAGCACCCCTGCTAGGTTTGACGACACGTGCTCTGCGGTTTCCTCCCCGACTCTACTGACTCTATTGTCGCTATAGGCTTTACCGTCATCAGTCAAGGCACTCCCGTACTCGAAGATGAGCCGGACTTAGAGTCACGTAACCTGTTATCTCCATCTTCACGACCTCGGCCCATATCCCTATCCACTTGCTAATCGTCCTCTCCATTCACGTTCTCTAGCGTAATAAACACTCTCTTAACAGTATGAATCCCGAGACAGGGACAGGGATGGCGAACAAGTCGCCCCCTCCTGATCCGGGTGGATACGAGGATGACGACGCTAGAGTTAGAGAACTTCTCCGACTTTGTTACGAAGATGGCATCCTCCCCAGGGATATTGACCCAGGGGAGATGGCGGTACAAGGGTGGAATGTCAGGTTCAAAGTAAAAGACTCTTTTGACAGAATCAAGGTACAATGGTTAAAAGAGCGAACGATCACCGTGATCTTCAGGGACGCAGCCCGTTTCCTCTCAAGGAACGTGAAGGAGGATCTCATCAGAGCTTACGAAGATGAGAAAGTACAGACAAGCGAGTTTGGCAAAGGTTTTAGCAGAGGGAGAGTTAAGTTGGAAAGCTTAAATGTTGCCTCGTATGTCGCAAAGAGCACCACGATCTTCGCCTGGCTCATGGAGAAACAGAGCGCGAAAGTGGTACTGGGAGGGGACACGTACAGGATGGAATTCAACTTATGGCTCACTAAGGCGCAGTTGAGGGAGCAACGAAGACTGGAGGACCTTTCGACATTCTGGGTCATCACTGTTCAAGTTCCGTTAGATGCGATGTTCTATTTGGAGGCGCACATAAGACGAGCTATCGACCCGGTCATTTTGACGCACCCACCGGAGCGAGACCGCCTGAAACCGACGCTTGTCAATATTAAGTTCGATCTTGATCCGGGGGCGAGACCCAACATGAAGGACTCGATAACGGTGGACACTTTCGAAGATGACGAATTGGAGGTCAGGCGTGCGTCTTCGGATACTCCTCGCTGTGGAAAGTGTCGCGCATTCTTTCACACTACCGATGAATGCAGAAGAGGAGGGCGATTTCACCAACAACAAGGCGGTGCAGGAGGCCAAGGCGGCAGGGATGATGTGGCTCAGGAGGTTTCGTCCAGGCAGATATACCATGGACCGTTAGGAAGAGGAGAAGCAAGTGTTCAACCCGCGACCTCTGTTGTTGGAGGAGGATTGGCTCAGCCGCCAGACATTAGCTTTGCAAACATCTACCAGAATCTTGCATTCATGGCAGTTCCGCAGGCTATGCAGCCTAACGCAGTTTTAACTCAACTGTTACAAGAGCTGGCGCTTGCACAAGCGGGCAGTTCTGTCCCGCTTGGATAACCATTGGGTGCGTTCCCACCGATGGTTAACCCAAGCCAGGGTGGCGGCTTTCACCCATATCAGGAGGCGCGGAGCAGGCTTCAACCAACCTGTCTCTTCCCAAGAAGCGACCAAGTAGATCTAGGGAGGATTTGGCGGAGGTCCAAGTTCCAGTCAAACGCCAGGCAAGATGGAGCGTCCTGGCTCGGCAACTCCAGGAGGGAGAATGAGAGGGAGTACCCCTGGGAAACATAGAAGGGTAGACAACGAAGGGCAAGATGAAGTACATAGGGAACTGTTGGCTTCCTCCCTCCCAGGATCGGAAGGCTCGAGTGATCAAGCGACAGTAATAGGAACTCCAGGCATGAAGACTACTAGAAAACGTATGCCTACAGTTTTAAGTTGGGGGCAACTGGATACCGTCGAAAACAAGATTCTGCCGTTTATGTGCACCGCGGCGAAGGGGACACTCTCGGTGGTTGCATGGAGCGGAGGGGATGGAGTGCCGGAGCTTTTCAGCACCGCTTCTCCGGATCAACCGATGCCTACCGCGGTAACCAACGTTATTCAAGCAGCTGTGAGGGATAAAATTCTGGTTCGATTGATCCCGGACGAGCCTATGGGCAGGTTCATCCTGGACCTGGAAAATGGTAAGAAGTTAAAATTCTTCGTTCCGATTCTCGATGCTCGCGTGCAGCAGGCGCAACTGCCTAAGTTGGAACACGCAGGGATGAGGCTCCTTCCGCTTGTCTGGTTTGCAGAAGGCAGACGACAAGAACTCTGTAGAATCAGAGTTCCCCCATTCCGTACCGGTGAATTCCTCGTGGAATTCAACGGCAAATTAGCAAGGTATAAGAAGTTTAATTCCAAGTTCATCAGGGATTTTCTTACTGCACCTTGGGACGGGCAGGCGTCGTCATTCGGAACAGCCGCCCCTATCCAACACGTATCCGGGAATCAGGGCTTGAATGGGTAGGCTTCGCCTATCCACATGGAATCTGCGAGGCTTAGTCGATCAGTCAGGTAAGTTCAAGAAAGCGAGACTAAAATCCTGGATTCATGATAAAGGCGTCCATGTTGCATGTCTACAGGAAACCAAGTTAAGTGAAGATAGAATTAACGATTTAGGGTCCTGGTGGGATGACCCCCAAATCTGGTCGCCCGCTCAAGGCACCAGAGGAGGGGTTTGCCATCCTGGTGCATAGGGACGCTGAACTGGAGATAGTAGATTATTTTGCAGATCTCTGGGGACGCTGGGTTTGGTTAAAATTGTGGGCGGATGACAAGGATTGGCTGATTGTTAATATATATGCGCGGACAGGCAGGAAAGAACGAGCTGCTTTTTTTGAAGATCTGAATGAGTTGATTCCGGAGTGTTCTAATATAGTTATTGCGGGGGATTGGAATATCTCACTGGACTCTGCTGCCTCCAAACATGGCAGCCAGAACCCAGCAAATGTTTTAAATCTCTTAAGCTTAATGAACGGCCGCTCGCGGGTGGACCCATACCGCCTATAACATCCAACGGACGAAGGCCACACGTGGTATTCCAATCATCGGGAAGGTATAGGCATAATTAGCCGTAGATTGAATTTCTTTCTAATCTCCGATCAGCTTTGGGAGCAGGTTGACGAAGTCCAAAAACACTCTCACCCTGTTTCTGATCACAAGCATGTTCTCCTGCAGCTACACACTGCACTTTTGGCTAGGGGCAAGGGGTACTTTAGGTTCAACACCCAGAATTTATAGGACCCAGGATTAGTTGAGTGGATGAGATCTTTCTGGCCTGATTGGGATAAAGTCAAACAGAGCTTTCCTTCGATTGAAGAATGGTGGCAGTCTGGCTCAACCATGTTTTCCAACTTGTTGAATGTGTTCTCTAAGATACTGGCCTCGAACAGGAATAAGGAGGAAGCCAAACTTAGGAGAAGAATAGAGGAAGTGGAGCTCAAAATGGAGCGCCACCCGATCTCACGAATAGTCTGGGGTAAGGAGAGATCAAAACTGTTAGCAGAATGGGACAATCTCCAAGAGAGGAATTCAGAGTTCTGGGCTGAGAGGCTAAGAATTAAGGGTATTGCAGTGTATGATAGAATGAGTAAAGAAGCCTTTCACAAGCTCGTTTCCCGGAGAGCTTCTCAACCTATTAACGAACTTAATCACCCCTTTGACCCTCAGGCCCCGAAGGCCAGAGACATTGTGACGATAAGCGAGTACGTGGCGTTATACTATAAGGATATACTTACTTCTGGTCTTCAAGGTCAAGAGGTGGTCTCTGATTTGTTCCAGCAGTCTTCGCACTGGGACAATACAATTGTCAGATTGCCTAACACCGCTAGACTGCTCCTGGACAGACCGATTACAAACGAGGAAGCCAAATGCACTTTGAAATCTATGGCAAAAGGGAAAGTGCCAGGGGACGATGGTATGCCAGTTGAAGTATACCTCTCTATCTGGGATGCTGTAGGAGATAACCTAGTGGAGCTGTACAATTCAGTTCTTACCGGAGGAAGCCTGTCTATGAATATGCGTAACGGAATTATTTCAGTACTGTATAAGAAGGGTGACAAGGCTGAGGTTAGGAACTATAGGCCTATTGCTCTACTGAACACATCCTACAAAATCCTAGCCAAAACGCTAGCCTGCAGATTGAGCTTTGTGCTTTCGGAGCTGGTTAAAGAGTATCAAGCTGCATTTGTCAGGAACCGCTCAATTTTTAACAATATTGTCACTACTATTTTGACCCTAGAAGTTATTTCGGACGAGGACTTGGACATGATGGTTCTATTATTGGATCTGGAGAAAGTATACGACCGTGTGAATTGGTAGTATGCCCTCTTCACCCTCAAGTGGATGAACTTCGGTGACAACTTCTGCTGCTGGATTACTGCTCTCTATGTTTTCTCCACTGCTGCAGTTATGGTTAATGGAATAATCTCCCAAAAAATTAATTTGTCTTGATCTCTTAGGCAAGGATGGCCGCTCGACCCTTTGATCTTCGTGACTCAATTAGAGGTCCTCATGAATAACATTAGATCCCACCCTCAGATCCAAGGTCTGCGAATAGGTAGATGCGAATGCCGAGTAAAAGCACTAGCGGATGACTTAATGGCCATCTCTAGAAACAGTCCTGAGTCCCTGGGAGCACTTAAGAGTTGCCTTGAGGATTATTCGCTACTGTCCGAGGCCTCAGTTAATTGGCATAAGTCGGTTTTTCTGCTACCTAGTCAGTACATTCCTACCCTCCGATGGGGAATGAAGTAGGTTGAGCTTAATATTTCGGAGAGGTTCTTAGGTGTTCAGATTGCCCTGTTTGACTGCTCGGCCGACCAGGATGGGCTATTGCTTCAGAAGACTCTCCACAGGCTCTCCACCTGGGGAAAGGCGGCTCACCTATCAATTTTTGGCAGGGCCATGGTCATCAACGCGTCCTTGTTTTTCCTGCTTTGGTTCGTAGGGGCGGTCTGGAGACTGGGTCAACACCTCTGTCCGATGCTTAGAAGAAGAGCCTCTAAATTTATGTGGAAACCCTTCTCAGACGCTGGAGACTCCTTTATATCGAAAATTGCATGGGAACTGATTACCTCCTCTCGCCTCGAGGGGGGGCTAGAGTTAATGGACCCGGAAAGGCGGAATGCAGCAATGCTGGTGAAGTGGATTGTGAGTGCAGTCTCCACTGAGAGGTCGGAACATTGGATTTTGCTCGGAGAATTTATCTTGATGAAAGGATGGAATCTCAGTCGCCCTGAGGACGTATGGGTCACCATGCTCCTTTACTCGTATCAGAGAAGGGCAGTCAAGTCGCCTTTCTGGACACCCATCATTCAAGCTTGGAGACGATTCAGACCTGACACTTGGGAACAGCCGGTCACAAGACAGGAGGTTCTCAATGAACCAATCTTCGAGAACCCACATATTACCGACTGCAATGCCCAATGGATCAAGGCGGATTCAGCCTCAGGCAGTTTTGGGCGTTCCTGGATGGAGAAGGGAGTAGTGACAATTAGAGATCTTTGGGATGCACTGAGAAACAAGTTTTCTACGGAAGATCTACAGTTCAGACTCGGCTCAACCAGACTGGTCGAGGAGAGGAGAAACCTGATACTGGCTGCAATCCCAGCAACGTGGATAGCCTTGCTGGATCCAGCCAGCCTTGACCCACCCAGTACGTGGTACCGGTCGACACCTAACCCGACTGAGTTTTGGAAGCTCATCGCTCACACAGGCGGAAGAAGAATTTTCCAATGCTGGATCAGACAATCCACTACTAGCGCCACCGTGCAGCTTGAGACGGAACGTACCCACCCAGAGCTGGGAGCCCCATTAAGCCAGGTCAGAGTATTTGAAAACTTGGATCAAGATGACACTTTGTCATGCTTATTATTTGCAGACGGTCAACCGGTTGAATCAGTCAGGCTGGACCCAGCACTTTGGGCCTGGAGAGCTAAAGGTACGAAAGGAGAAAATCTCCCTATTCTGAACTATACGGCTTAGATAGGTTACAAGTTCCTCAGCCCTCCAAGACAACCCTTAGCGGTTGCAGTTGGTAGATGGATACAAGTGCTGCAACTTCCACCGGAGGACATCAGGTCAGCCATCTCCAAGTGTTGGGAGCAGATCAGAGTGATTCCTAATCAAAGACAGGCGGCACTCATCTGGCTTCTGTCCTATTTGGCCACCCCTTCGGCCGTTTGGCTAGCACAAAGAGGGGTCCCTGTAGACCTAACTTGCTGTCGCTGCCAATGGGCGTTTGAGTCCACGCCGCATTTGTGGTGGGACTGTCCGGCCTCTAATAGAATTTGGCAATGGTGGAGGAAACTCTGGGTAGGTCTTGCTGGTCAAGCACTCTCATGGGACAGGGAATGGGTTCTGTTAGGAGGCATCCCAGAGGACCTGCAAGTCGAGACAGGCTGGGGCTACGTTGCTCAAACAGCAAGGGCAGCTGGAATGGAGGTGATCTGGTATGAGAGAAACTGCAGAGTTTTCAAGAAGAAGGAATTGTGTAACAAGGAGATTCGCCATCGCTTCAGAACAAATCTGCGCAGGTCGATACAGGCGGATTGGAGGAGGAAAGATTGCACAGCAACAACCTCAGGCAGAACGTGGTTCCAGAGAACTTGGTGTCTCAATAAGGACTTAGCTAGTATATCAATGGAGGGCAAGCTGGAACTGAGCTCTTGGTTTTATTTGGATAGGTAGGTCCTTTAACTGTAGTTCTTAAACCAGGGCACTCGGTTTTTGGGCCGTAATGGGCAGGCAGAAGGGGATTTAGGCTTGGAGGGAGTGTCAGTAGGATACAGGGGTCCGCTGGGACCCTCCCCGTCGATTTAGGCGGTCGGTAGGCCTATAGTTGCCAGAATGGTATTTCCTTCCCCCCCCCCCCCCTTCCCCTCCCCCCCCAACCCGGTAGGATCTTATTGTCTGTTCGTTTGTTCTTTTGTCTTTTGTAGGTCCCCTCCTTTGCTCTGTTGGCCCTTCTCCCCCCTCCCCCCCCCTTTCTTTCTCCTGGAAGTGTATAGGATTAGGCTCTGGAGGCTGTGGTTGGTTTTTGGTTTGTTTGGCGTTTTCGTCTTGTGAGTTTTTGTCCCTTCTCTTCTTTTGTTAGAGGTTGCGGAGCAGTCAGAGCATTGGTCTTGTATCGACCTTGTAGTCTCTGGACATCATCCCAACGCCCAAGCCTAACCTGGGTAATGGCCCCAGGATGGTTACGTCACTCCGGGTTGTTTGTGGAGGATTCCCGGCCTCCCCAGACTTTTCGCTAATGATGGATCTCGTGTTTTTTGTAAAAAAAAAAAAAAAAAAAAAAAAAAAAAAAAAAAGACAGTGGGAGAGAGGGTAAGACAAAAAGGGGCTGGCACGGAACAGAGAAGTTGACGTTGACGAGAATGGGGGACATACCGAGTTTGGTATGATGAGGACGGAAATTATCGAATCTTCCACCACGAGAAGCCAACTCTTATCACCATCTCCATCTTTGTATGGGTGCATGACGGTGTGAAGTATCTCAACGCGGCGGATTGGCGTTATCTTATGCGGAGGTGACATTGCCAAGACAGTAAGACAGAGCGAAGAGGATGCGGTCGCTAAAGCTTCTGCGATGCCGTAAGGGGTCCTCCTTCCGGTCATCATCTCTGGGCACCATAGCTGAGAGGGTGCTGCTACCTGTGATGGAAATGCAGTGGGAGGAGGGTTTGGTGAGGGCCACCGGGAGCGGCAAAGGGACATCATGGTATTGCACCATTGCTAATCAAGCGTGCTCCTCAGAGAGAAACGCAAGCGCTGATCCTGTGAGTTCAGCGGAGAGAGTGGATGACAAGTGGTTTGGGCGATGGCTGCTACGTTCAGCTGTCCTTTGCGGGTCGGCGTCCATGGCCCTGTCCCGACGATCCCACAATCCTGCTCTGCTGAGATGGGACGGAGAATCGCCCATCAGGACAGGAAAGAGGAATGGCATCCTACAGCTACCAGTCAGAGAGAGATGTGGACGATCACGAAGGGAGGTAATCAAACGGCGATGTGGAGCAGGTTCGGGTTTGGCTTTCCCCCAGTGACCGCCATTTCCAGCCACGTGTCGCTCTGTTGTGCAATGGAACAAGCTGCCTGCTTCTCTCGATCTTGGCACTCTAGATCGGTTGTCCAATCAGCCACCTCTCAGGCTCAGGTCATTTCCCCTCCTGCTGAGAGCGATACAACCAATGCAGCAGATGACCCTGCGGCTGCTGCTGGCGATGCCGCCGCTGCCGGTGTTGTCCCTATCTGTAATTCCAAACCGGCGCAAAGTAGGTGGTCCTTGTCCATGCTTGTGCTGATCCTTCCTTGCGTGGCCACTTTTGCGCTGGGCACGTGGCAGCTGCAGCGCAGGCAGTGGAAAATTGACCTTCTCGAGCGGCGGAAAGAGAAACTGCGTGCCGAGCCTGAACCGTTGACGGACGTTCCCGCCGCCATCTCCTCCTCATCCGCATCTACCTCCGATGATGGTCAGATTCGTCATCTTAGCTCTAGCTATGGTGGTGATGAGGATGCCACGATTCACGAGAAAGATTGGGAGCCTTTTGAGTATCGAAAGGTCGCATGCCAAGGTGTTTTTGATGATCAGCGTTCCGTTTTCGTCGGTCCTCGAGTTCGCTCTGCAATGGGAGTACCCGAGAAAGGCTGTTTCTTAATTACCCCTCTAGTTCTTGCTGATGACAATCAAGGACATGATCTTGTTGGCGACAAAAGCAAGGAGAGTGAGAGAGCCGGCATCGTTAGCAGCAGTAGCAGCAGCAGTAGCGGTAGTGGAGGGGATGGAATAGGGAATGCTGTAAGAACCCGAACCCAGACTGTACTCGTCAATAGGGGTTGGGTGCCTGCCACATGGCGGGCTCAGTTCACGTCGTCACAGTCGCAAAGGAGCCCCTCTGGTTCATCGGCCGATCTGCGATCTCCCTCCTCTTCCTCCTCCTCCTCCTCCTCCTCCTCCTCTTTGTCTTTGATGTCCATTGCGTCCTCCCCGTCCTCTTTACGTGGCAAAACACGAGGAACTTCATCTTCTTCGAGGGGGAAAGGAAAAGGCTGAATGTTGCGCTGCCATTTTCCACTTGGCAGCCATATCTGCTGTTCCTCCTCACGAGGAACTTCATCTTCTTCGAACTGCTAGATCGGTTGTCTCCTACTTCATCAGGACTTCCAGTGCTGCACTTCCTTGCAGGCGCTGAGCTGGTGCTGCTATCATTGGGGTTGCTGGTTCAGATTGGCACGTTGCGACAGCTGTGGGGTAACTGCTGCTATGGCAGCCATAGCCAGGGGTACGTGGATGGCGAGGAGGAAGGAGAAGACTCCTGCATACTTCGCTGAACACTTGTTTTTGGTTGGTCGGGGTCGTCGTAAACGCGGTTGTGATTCTTCGAACAAGTACTCTGGATTGATTGGATGAGGACGAGGAATTGCAGAATTGAAATTCGTTTCTCACTTCTCTGTGTATTTCGAGCTTCCACTGTGCATATCTGGATTGATTGGTCGTTTAAACTTTAAACCACCAGTGCTCCCCGAAGTCGTGCCCGTAAACAAGCCACGATTTTAGAATATTGTAAGGGCCACTACGCGAGCTCCCAAATTCATCCCACTAGGAACGTTTCTACTCTGTTTTTTGTCGCGGCCAATAGTTGACCCCAGTACAGGCGGTGGCAAACGGTCTTGAGATATGAGCACTGGACTGACCGGCCCCAGGCAATTCAGAGCATATTTACACTCTTCGTGTGGTTGCATCCAGATTTGAACTTTGGTCTGTATTTCCAAGTGAGCCTTGGGTCTGTATTTCAACTGAGCCTTGGGGGGGGCGGTAGTCTCTTGAGTGGCAGGGCCTGCGCTCCCCTGCAGTTCCCTTTTTTTTTTTTTTTTGTCGCGCCTTCTCGAAAGGACAAGTGTTTGAGGTCCGATCAATGTGACGACTCAGGAATCGATGACCACAAGTCGGAAACCCGAGTGCATTTTACTCGCAAAATTTTCCACGCATTCACAGCGGCCCAGTGACTACTAAGCACACGCCACGGCTTCAAAGACAAACAAGAAGACATCCAACGCGACCTGAGAGTATGTATCTGCTCATAATCAGGGCCACATTCAATCACAAATTATGATCTGAGATTGACTATGCTGGGCTGAAAACCATTCGGCCCGAAGCAAAGAATGATACCCATTCGAAACTCTTGCATCTCACGCATGATGCGCTAAATCGTCTGAGATAAGACAGTTTTAATTCCTTGGCGTAAAAAATAATCCAACCCCTTAAGTGCGGTGGGCCCGCGGGGGGCAGGTCGTGTTCCGCTGCGCGCCGGAATCGTCATTCAAGCTGTAGCCGACAGACGGTTAACAACCATAAACACAGATGCAGTGACACGAAATTGACGAGAGAGAGAGAGAGAGAGAGAGAGAGAGAGAGAGAGAGAGAGAGAGAGAGAGAGAGAGAGAGAGANGAGAGAGAGAGAGAGAGAGAGAGAGAGAGAGAGAGAGAGAGAGAGAGAGAGAGAGAGAGAAGGGGAAGAGAGAAAGAGATGGGGATAAATCAGTAGAGGACGACAAGGCCATGTCCCGAACACGACTGTTAAAATTATATCATGAAGAACGACATGGCGATGACCCTACCGGTTTCAGCTGGCCACCACAACCAGGATCATCAGGGGCCAACGTTTTGGTGACATGACTTGCTAACTCTATAGTTATATACTACTCTACGAGCATCAAGACATCACCTCAATGGAGGAGCCAAAGCCGCATTTGAAAAAACCCTATCAATGCTTCTACAGTACCAAATGTATCGTCGTCTAAAAACTAGTCCTAATACCTGTCTCTTATACACATCTAGATGTGTATAAGAGACAGGCTGTGCGAGCATCAAGACATCACCTCAATGGAGGAGCCAAAGCCGCATTTGAAAAAACCCTATCAATGCTTCTACAGTACCAAATGTATCATCGTCTAAAAACTAGTCCTTTTTACACATCTAGATGTGATGAATCCTCGAGAATCGTCCCACAAAATCCAAAAAAAAAAAATTCCTCCGTTCGAAACTCAGTGACTTAGAACATGTTCCAACTCGAGTCCACCCAACACTTACTCATAATACCCTGTCTCTTATACACATCTAGATGTGTATAAGAGACAGGTTCACCATTGATCGCATTCACTTTCCTAACCGGATCACATGCACTTCGCAGATTGAGGTTAGACTCCTTGGGAAGTCCCCATAACATACCTGTCTCTTATACACATCTAGATGTGTATAAGAGACAGCTACCGTACCATACCAGGAATGGGTCTACATTCACAGCCTTAACCAATACCCCGGTATGAATCCTCGAGAATCGTCCCACAAAATCCAAAAAAAAAAAATTCCTCCGTTCGAAACTCAGTGACTTAGAACATGTTCCAACTCGAGTCCACCCAACACTTACTCATAATACCCGACACTTCAAGAATATACCCCCCGGTAAATATGTAACGGTATACCACTCCTCAAAATTACCCCCTAGTTAACATTCGTCCTTCGTCCGTTCCAGTCAATCTCGCAGCTCAACCCCCTAAAGCGAGGGCAAAAACGATGACCCCTTCGTAACAAAACGATCCCACCTGGTTAGTAGCGGCACCCATTGTCCCCATAGCCCTCCGTGTTTTCTACAAGAAATTCACAAGTGCTCGATCAAAAATAGAATCCGGATATCCCCGTACTCTCAGTTTACATTTCAACGTCAATAACAGCGGGAAAGCAAACTTTTCCTGACTTGCGTTTAATCTGGTGCGATGAAGAAACGACGAAATGACTGCTCACTTCTGTTGACGACTCGAAAAGGATGAAAAATCCTGACTGTTTTGAAAGGTGAGGTGTTCCCCTAGATGTACATCAGCCTGATTCTTGATGCCAGGTACGCAGACAATACCCGATTCGTCACCTTCTATCCCCAACAAGCACTCGAGATAACTCCACAGATTTCCATTATCAGTCCTTTCAAGGACAAAGTTCTCATCATAACAACCTGAGAAACAACCCAGCAGAGCCTTGGCTTCCTTTACAGTCAATCCCTTTTTCCTAACAATGACAAAAACAGAAACGTCATCAACCAATCGAAAACCTCGAAACAGACTCCTATCCGCGCCTAAACTCGACAAAAAGAGAAATTCATTGTAAGAGCAAAGCAGACATGCGACAACTGGGCTCGTAGACTTCCCCATAGGAATCCCCACCGTCTGCCTAAAAATTCTCCCATGTGCCGACACAAACGTATGCTCGAGTTCAAACTTAATGAACGAAAAAATCAGCTCCAACGAGACAAAATGTCATCCAGGTTCAACACTCCCTTTAATTAACTTAGCTCCCTTGCCCTGCTTCACCACAGAGACACCTCTCACACCTTTATCTCGCCAGAAATCGATAACCCATGCCAGCGCACCCAAAATGGACTGATGTGGCAAGTGTGAGAACATTTCTTTGACATCAAATGAAGCCCCAAGTAATCCATCTCCCTTGCGCAGTTCACCATTGATCGCATTCACTTTCCTAACCGGATCACATGCACTTCGCAGATTGAGGTTAGACTCCTTGGGAAGTCCCCATAACATACAGTTCACAGTTTTCGAAACAGTCGATCCCCCTTTTGCAGAACATTCCATGTATGACGGGCAGATGGGACGCCACTTCCCGACGTCCTTGTGCTTGGGAATGCAGTAAGAGCACCCAATATCACCATCCTTCTTCCATTTGCTCACTCGTTGCAGACCCAGACTCGAGTAAGTTTCAAAACCTGCTTTTAGAATGTCCAATTTCTCCCCCAACACCGGCTCAAAAGATGGATTCTCCAAAAAGAGTTTGGTCATACCTTTCTTATAAATCAACGGACAGCAGGCGGACGTGTCTCCGGGATTATGATCAATAGGGGAGCAGACAAGTCCTTCCAGGAGGGGTAGCCAAGGAGTTAAGTCATCTACATTAATCGTCTTACCTGTGGTTCCCAACACTCGGCTTTCCCTTCTGTACTCCAAAAAACAGCTCCCAACTAACTCTTTGGTCAGTAATCCAGAATCAAACTCAGGAATGGAAGGATGTGAAGAGAAAGCGGTCAAAATCTGTGAACGCAGATTTGAAAAAGCGCGACGATTACTGGAACGAAGAATGTTCTTCGAGTTATTCATCCATGGAGGAAACAGATGTACGCCATTGATCCGAAAGGCAACATGTCCCCCCTGTCTAGGTAGTGATTGGTCACATTCTTGCCATGTACATACAGCCACCTTCTCTTTTGCAACACTCCTATAATTATGGATATAGTCACCAATATTCCGATTCCGACACCAAACCACTCGTAGTCGTCTAACTAACATTCCTTTCCATCCGTCGGCAATGTCCAGCGAAGCAATAATAGCAGAGCAAGCCTGTCTAACCTTAGATTTAAAAATCGAGTCATCATAAACCACCTTGCACACCAATCTCCTCCTCACATGTATCCCAAACCTCACCAAAATACTTTGAGATAACAAGCAACGAAGTCTGAACGTCGATCATTTCTCACTGAAAGTGCGGACAGCAGTGTAAGCGGTGATACATTTTTCCAATCCCCACACCTTCAAAAGTGCCCTGCTCTTAGGATTACCTAAAAATTCGACGAGCAGTGGTTTCAAGGCTAAAGATCGACTCGGGAATGGAGCCACTGATTCAAACGTCAATGTAAGGTTTCCTTTCAGCCACCCTCGAGCATGTTGTAACTCAAGACAACCCAGCGTACAAGACAACAAACTTCCCCCGTACAGCCTTTTCAACACCTTCCATCTATCTACAAGCTTTTCCCCACCAACATAAGTAACCACCAAGCGATGGATGGAGTTCGTGCGACAGTGTTCAAGAATCTTCAGAAGACTACCCGATACGATCCCCACGCTAGAATGGAATATCACCAACGATCCCTTTCCGTGTCCATCCCTGCCCTCATTAGTTCCATCGTTTGACTATTTCCCTTTTCTTCGCAACCGCTCTCATAACCCCGGTTGTGCCTTCCTTGTGCGTTTCGGTCTATCTCGCATGTTTAAAGCTGGTGATAATAGTCTGATAAAATACCTTTCTGTCTCCAACAAATTATCCGGCTGACACCTACACAGTGGTACGATGGTATACGTATGCACTCCACAACATCGAAGTCACCTGTATAACTTCTCATCCCTCCTACTTTTACCACTAATCTCAGACTGACACGCACGATAGACATGTTTCTTCCATCTGGTATGCACATCCCTACCCGTACTCCTCATATACATGTGCCTTGTCCATGGTGACACCAACGCATATACAACAGGTCCCTTCCATGAATCAGAATCAACCACCGACCGCGAGAGCCCATCAATAATAAACGGGCGCAATTTAGATCCCCACGCAATCTGCCCATCGACAATCAGACCACAAAAAGCAAGAGAAAAGACTACACAGATGGCACCATTCCTTAGGAGGTGGGGAGAAAACGAGCGAATTCTACAGCAAAGACGTATTACTTCCCATAGCAAAGCCGTGTCCGGGAAAGATACTAAGAAGCGGCCGACTCATCCTGATCATTCACAGGTCCGGCTACGTCATCAGAGATCGACACGGTGGCTACATCCTTACCTTTCCTCTCTCTTCTTGCGTCATCATCAAACGTTTTGGCCGCCCGCGCCTGTACGATCGCCTCCTTTGTAGGATCAAGTGTAGTGTAATTAACACCTTCCTTCTCGCATATCTTAATCACGAACTCTTTGTTCTTTCCGCGCAGGTCTTTGCGATTGGCCCGAACAAAAGCATATCGGTCTACAGATTCAGCAGCCTGGTTCATATCTTTGTCCTTATCCTTTTGCGCAGAGGTACCCCCACCACCCTCAGTAACGCCGTTCGTCCTCTCCTTATTCGTAGCTGCTTCATCAAGTCTCGTCTTCAAGTTAGTTCCACGCGTAGCCGTTCTTTTTTCCATCTCTAATCTAGCCAACGCCTCCTTGAGTTTCTCAACCTCAGACTCTGATTCCCTCTGTGCATTCATCTCATTGATACGTAGTGTCTGCAGCGCTTCCACTTCAGCCTGATGACGCTCTGCGATACCTTTCAGATCAATTTCCACGTGTCGCCGTGGAGTCTCAACATGCGCCTTTGGAGACTCATTCCCACCCGTACGGATTCTCACTCGAGCTTGCATCATAGGAGTAGTACCCACCGCAATACTGTCGCGCTTGTTACCTGGTCGAAGCGCCTCGGCTTTCCAGCGTTCAGCTGTGGCCTCAGCCTCCTCGCACTGCCTTTGCAGTGCCAACACAACTTCTTCCAATGCCTACATTCGTCGATCCGAATTGGCCTTCATCTCCGACTGCTCCCGTCGAAGCCGCGATAGTTCGGTCGAGTCGTGCGTTGCTGCATCAGAGGAAGTGCTTGCTTCTTTGAGTTTCTAATGCAAACCTTCGACAATTTCCTTGAGTTTCCCCACCTCGTCAGAGTTCCCACCCTTCTTGCCGTCAATAGCTGTATACACCTTGTTCAAGCTCTCCGATAACTCCTGTTTGATGGAGCGCTGGAACTCCTCTCTCTCCTTTTCATCCCGTAACAATCGGTCTTCTTCTTCCTGTTGACGTTTCTTCCGTTCTTCTTCTTCTTTCCTAGCCTTCTCCTTCGCTTCTTCGGCTTCGTGTCCTTCACTAATCTTAGCTACTCATTCTTCCAGTGAATACACGCGCTTGCCCAGCCAACCACCTCCATTCGAATGGTCAGAGTAAGCGGAAACAGGAGCGATAGACCCGACTCTTGAGTTGTCGTTGGAGGGAAGGGTAATAAGAGGAACATTAGAAGACACTGGAGCATGCTGAAGGTTATTCAACTTCCTATCTGGATATGGACAAAAACGGGATATGTGACCTCTCTCACCGCAGTTGTAGCAGGACCTAGGTTCGATGTTCAGATTGTTGCTAGCCATGATTGCGGAGTCACTCAAACGTAGTGCGATTTCTACGGCAGTTCCTCCGTGTATGATAGTCAGTCAAGCCGTAGCCGACAAACGGTTAACAACCATAAACACAGATGCAGTGACACGAAATTGACGAGAGAGAGGAGAGAAAAGGGGAAGAGAGAAAGAGATGGGGATAAACCAGTAGAGGACGACAAGACCATGTCCCGAACACGACTGTTAAAATTATATCATGAAGAATGACATGGCGATGACCCTACCGGTTTCACCTAGCCGCCAGAACCAGGATCATCAAGGGCCTACGTTTCGGTGACATGACTTGCTAACTCTACAGTTATATACTACTCTACGAGCATCAAGACATCACCTCAATGGAGGAGCCCAAGCCGCATTCGAAAAAACCCTATCAATGCTTCTACAGTACCAAATGTATCGTCGTCTAAAAACTAGTCCTAATACAGATCAAAGTGAATCAGAAAGTACCGGTCCAAATAGCGACTTCTTATTGCCCGCGTACAGGTTCAAATCCC